TGAGCTTTGTCTAACCTGCTTATATCTAATCCGATCCACTCATATTTGATTTGACCTGCTCATTTGCCAGTAATATTAGTGTCTTTGCCTTTTTCTTATTATTTTTTGAGGCATCCATATTTAATTAATTCTTCTTTTGCTTCTATTTTGTTAATTATTTAGCTAATTAGGATTAATGATGTAAATTTGCAGGATTAACTACAAGGTAAGCTTAGACTTAATAAGTGAGCAATTGAACTCAAGATTAGTAGCAATTCAAAAAGGAATTATTGAGGACAAGAGGGGTTGGATTATTGAGATCAAGTGAATATTTGGTTTAATGATGTTTTCATTAGTCAAAGTTGTGCTCTATTTGTAGAGATTATAAGATATGTTTGCAATGTATAAGAAATTAATTAATGAGATTAAGAGAAACTATATATTATTGTATTAATTAAAAGGGTTATGTTCTAAAAGATCTACTTATGTGTCAAGTGCACAAATAGCCGATTTAAGGGCCGCTTATAAAGCCATATATATATATATAATTTCTTATGAATTTAGCCGCTTCAGAATCAACTTCAAACTTACAAAAATGAAGTTGAATTTTTCTTACGTTTTTGGATAAGATGTAAAAACTTCAAACTTCAGACATTTAATCTGAAACTTGGCTTGACATTCTCGAGCTTGAGATTCCAAAACTCATTCGTGATACCTTATACATTTCGTTTCGTTTAATCAATCAAGGAATAATTATGGCCCTAAATATTTCGGCAAACTAGGTTATAATAAAATATATGTACAAAATGTATACATTATTAGAAAACTAATTGATCAATCTATATATATCCATAACTTTTGTTCGAAAACTAATTGATCGAACTATATATATTCATAACTTTTTCATAATTAAAGCATTATGATCTATAAGAACTCCTTATCTCCCAATTGGGCCATTGGGATTGTATTAGATTGATGTTCTAAAATTGCATATATAACATTTTTGTTGGATAATAGATACGTCGCATTGTGACCAAAAGTTAAAAGTATTATTAGAGGCCCAAATGTGGTGACATCCTTACAGTTAAGTGAACAAATAGTATCAATAACTAAATTTTGAACTATACAGACCTATATATGCAAAGAAATTTGGAATGTACACACATAATAAAATCAGACTAATTTTGATATCACTGACTCTAAATATTTGGTTTCGCTAATATTTATGATGAATCAAGTGGTCTATTATTGTTGCACAACTTCCTGGAAGAATTGATAATGATATAAAGAATTATTGGAACACCAATTTGAAGAATAAATTATTTGGAAAACAACGCAAAAACCATAGAGGGAAAAGCCAAAAACAAGTATCAACAAAAGTAGCAAGAGATAATATAGTTTATGATCACAACAATATTATTATTAACACAAACCCTAGCTAGCCTGAATGAGCTTCCTATTTTTGCAACCAATTATACAACACTCAAATCAAGAAGAGCCACGTGTCGATTAGAAAGTTGTTGATGAAGCTTGGAGAAATATTCTCAGATGATAATGATGATGGTGTAACAAATCCTCAATATGATCCACCTATGGATAATTTTTCTTTGATGTATCCAATGTTTGATCACAATTCTATTCATTTGATGACTTCTAGTCCAATGAATGTCATACACATGACGAAATCGCCTTCCTTAAATTCTAATGAGTACAACATGGACGAGAAAGCATTTTGTTGGGCTGACACTGACACTCAGAGACGAAAGTTAGAGGCACCAATGAGATCAGATACTCCAATAGTCCTAGCTATAAACAATGAATGCGGGTGAGATTGAGCATGTGATGTACACTACTAATTCACAAAAAAATATAGATGGTCTTGAAATGTTATATGAGGATATGTTTAGTAAAAAACATGTCACTACTTTAGGAGGAAGCTTGGAGAGGGAAGATATGAATAATTTAATTTGTTCATATTTCCAATTCCTCCACTAGTTGTTTCAAACAATATTGAAGGTGCATTTGGGAATTATAATGATGAATAATATTTTTGTAAACTTCTTCTATGTGATTGTGTTTAATTGTTGGAGAAATTAAAACCTAATAAACTTGTTTACCTAAATATTTGCATCTCTTCACTTGATTATTCAATTAAGTTGCATAATAATCCCTACATTCAGTTTTACTTATTCATTATACTAAAAATAAATTTCACTTTTATTCGTCTATTATAGCATATGATATGATGACATATAAATACATCATTAACTAATTGTCTTCTCCTTAAATATATACCAAGCACACCCCAATTAACTATGAAGTCATGAAAATATTTAAAACACATCTTTTGGAGGACAAAACATGTACACAGGGGAAGCTTATAAAGTTGATTACAGTATTTAGACTTTAGTTACTAATGTGCCTCAAGTTATAAAAACTTATTCCAGGAGGCCAAAATAAACAATTAAGAAACTTAGTAACTGTCATGAGACAGTTACACATGTATTGGGTGGTTTTTTCTGTAGAAATAGGGGGCAGGGCAGTTAAAAGAGGGTATTTAGAAAATAAAGAAAAGGGAATTCTGGGAGAGTTTCTAGCCTCTTGAATGTCTAGAAAGGTTGTGATCTTTATGATTATATAACTAAAGTTCATTATTGTCTTAGGATGTGATTTATTATGTCAGTAGTGTACTCGTGATTGTTTTGTTTTCAGACTTCTTGTTGTAATATCAGTGAATCTAGTGTGAAACAACAGTATTTGTTCCTCTATCGTCAATTTCAGCAGTAAAGTCTATCAAATTGGTATCAGAGCAGTAACGTTCAGGGATGGTGAGTAGGATGGAGTGACGAGTCGAACAAGTGGAGACAAATTTGACAGGGGTAAGAGAAGATGTCAGAAAACTGGAAGGATGGTTTCAAGAAATGACAGAGACTCTTGCGAGAATTGAAGCACAAGGAAGAACTATGATGGCAGAAGCATCTCCTTCTCAAACCAGATCTATCGGAAACCAAGAAGAGGGAAGCAATGTCAACTGGGCTGGAGAAAAAGATGGGAAGAAGTTTCGAAAACTACAACTACCAGTTTTCGAAGGAGAGGATCCTTTGGGATGGATTTTTAGAGTGGAGCGATATTTTGCCGTGAATGAAATTTCTGAAGCGGAAAGATTACAGGCAGCAGGTGTTTGTTTGGAAGGAAAAGCCTTAAATTGGTATTATTGGATGGAATCTCGGGAACAAATGTTAACCTGGGAAGACTTCAAAAGAGAGTTGTTGAATCGATTTCATCATTCTCAAAAAATCAACCAATATGCTGCCTTAATGGGGTTGAAGCAGGTTAGCACAGTTACTGTGTTTCGTGAAGAATTTGAAAAGGTGTCAGCATCTATGAAGGAGGCATCTGATGGAATGTTATCTGGAGTGTTTTTAAATGGGTTGAAAGAGGAAATTCGGGCAGAAGTGATGTTGTTACAGGCTCAAACATTGAGGGAGATAATGGAGATGGCTCAAAAGGTGGAGGATCAAAATTATGTTTTGCAGCAAGTACAAGGTTTTAAATTTGAATCAGGCAGAGGAAGTGCAAGCAATAAACCAGTTGGGTTTAGACCCAATTATCACCGAGTTGCAAACATTCTTGAATCTCGTGACTTAAGAGCCGGAGTAGCAAGTCGTAACACTGATTCAACAATGCATACTGCCACAAAGTCAACTAGCTTCAACGGGACTGCAGTAGCAAAGTCTGAAGGACAATTCAAAAGGTTGTCTGATTCAGAATTTGCCCGAAAAAGAGAGCTAGGGTTATGTTTTAGATGTGATGAAAAATTTGGCCCTAATCATCATTGTAAAAATAGGCAGCTTAACCTATTGATTATTTCAGAGGCACCCAACATAGATGAAGATGAAACAGAGGAATTCTTTGAGTCTATCAGAGAAGATGTAACTGAAGGGGAAATGAAAGATACTATGATGGTGTTGAATATGAATTCAGTTGTGGGCCTTACATGAGGTAGAACAATGAAACTTGTAGGGAAGATTCATAGGCACGGCGTGATAATTTTGGTCGATAGTGGAGCTACCCATAATTTTATATCATCCACCCTCGCTCATCATCTACAATTACCTATTAAGAAGACCAAAGGATTTGAAGTAACAATTGGTAATGGTCAGAAGGTTAGTGGAAGTGAGGTATGCAACGAGGTAAGGATAGACGTGCAAGGAGTCCAAATCAACCAACAGTATTTTCTATTTGAATTGAGGGGAACTAATGTGGTATTAGGGATGGAATGGTTGGCCACATTAGGAGAGATGAGGGTGAATTGGAAACTTCTTACCATGAAATTCAAAGATGCAGGAAGATTGGTGTCGCTTCGAGGGGATCCAACCATGGTTCGAACAGTAGTGTCACTCAAAGCCATGACCAATTTGTTAAAGAAAGGAAACCAAGGATTTCTGGTCGAGTTGAATCAGGTAACAATAACTGAAGATGAAGCAGCTATAACATCAAAGGAGATTGAAAAGTTATTATATGATTATCTAGAAGTAAGTGAGCAGGCCTTAGGCCTACCACCACGTCGTTCTTGGGATCATGTTATTACTCTTCAATCTGGAGCACAACTACCAAACATTCGTCCATATCGATGTCCTCATTCTCAAAAAGCAGAGATCGAGCGTTTGGTCAAAGAGATGCTGGCTGCTGGAATCATTAAAACTAGTACTAGTCCATATTCTAGTCCAGTATTACTGGTTAAGAAAAAGCATGGAAGTTGGCGATTTTGCGTGGATTATCGGGCTCTTAATAATATCACGATCCCTGACAAATTTCCAATACCATGCATTGATGAGTTACTTGATGAACTAGGGGGAGCCACCATATTTTCCAAGTTGGATCTTAAGTCAGGTTATCATCAAATTCGCATTCAAGCTGGAGATGAAGCAAAAACAGCCTTCCACACTCATGAGGGACATTAAGAGTTTATGGTCATGCCATTTGGTTTGACCAATGCACCCTCAAATTTTCAATCACTAATGAATGATATTTTCAGGGATCATTTGCGAAAATTTATTTTAGTATTCTTTGATGATATTTTGATTTACAGTAAGGATTATGCTTCACATCTGGGGCATTTGAAGGTTGTTTTGGATATTCTCAAACAGAATCAGCTGGTAATCAATAAGAAGAAATGCACGTTTGGTCAGCTTAAACTTGAATATTTGGGTCATATCATCTCCTCTGAAGGAGTGCAGGTTGACCCCTCCAAGATTGACAGTATGATATCTTGGCCAAGTCCTAGAGATATAAAGTCTTTGCGGGGATTTTTGGGACTCACGGGATATTACAAAAAATTTGTCAAAGATTATGGTAAGATTGTTGCCCCTTTAACTGATTTACTAAAAAAAGATGCCTTTTCATGGGGAGAACGCGCTCAACAAGCTTTTGAGGCATTGAAGTTGGCTATGACTCAAGTGCCTGTCTTATCGATGCCAAACTTTTCTCAACCCTTTGTAATTGAAGCTGATGCTTCGGGATTTGGTGTTGGTGCAGTTTTGATGCAAAATGGTAAGCCTATTTCCTATTTCAGTTGAATGCTTTCTTCCAGAGCGAGACAATGTTCGGTATATGAACGAGAGCTAATGGCTATCGTGTTGGCTATCAAGAGATGGAATCACTATTTGCTAGGCCATCATTTCATCATTAAAACTGACCAAAAAGCCCTTAAATTTTTGCTAGGACAGAGGGTTATGGATGAGATTTAACAGAAATGGGTTTCCAAGCTCATGGGTTATAAGTTTGAGATCAAGTACAAACCGGATGTTGAAAATAGAGTGGCTGATGCTTTGTCAAGACGCGGGGAATCTTCAAAGTTATATGTGTTTTCAATTTGGCAATATAAAGACAAGGAGGAATGGGACCAGGAAGTACAACGAGACACCAAAATGGCTTCTATTTTGCAAAAGTCAATTTCAGGACAACAATCAGATGACAACTACAGCTTGAAGAATGGATGTCTACTATATAAAGGACGCTTGGTTTTGCCAAAAGGATCATCTCGAATACCTGGGCTATTGAAAAAGCTTCATTCTTCTTCTATTGGAGGCCATTCGGGGTATCTTCGCACATATAAAAGGCTGTCCGAGAATATCTACTGGAAAGGTATGAAGAGGGATGTGCAAGACTTTGTTGCTAGGTGTGAAATCTGTCAAAAGAACAAGTCTCAAACTTTGAGTCCTGCGGGGTTACTCCAACCTTTGCCTATACCTCATCATGTGTGGGAGGATGTAAGTATGAACTTCATTACTGAACTTCCTAAATCCCATAGGTTTGATACTATTTTGGTTGTAGTGGATCGTCTTACTAAGTATGCACATTTTATTCCACTTTCACACCCTTTTAATGCGAAAGATGTGGCAGCTATTTTCATTAAGGAAGTGGTTAAATTGCATGGATTTCCCAAGTCTATTGTGTCTGATCGTGACCGTGTGTTCATAAGCCAATTTTGGAAGGAACTATTCAAGCTAGCAGGCACTACCTTACGGTATAGCTCTTCCTATCATCCAGAAACTGATGGGCAAACAAAAGTGGTGAATTGAAGTTTGGAGACATATCTCTGTTGTATGGCAGGAGAAAATCCTAAGGAATGGTCCCACTGGTTATCTTGGGCTGAGTATTGGTTTAATACATCCTTTAACAGATCTGCAGGTATGACACCCTTTAAAGCATTATACAGAAGGGATCCATCATCAATTTTTCACATGGATGACACTACTTCAGCGGTGGAAGAAGTAAATGAGCAGGTGCGCACTAGAAATCTGATCTTAACCGAACTCAAAGAACATTTGTTACAAGCACAACAAAGAATGAAAAATCAAGCTGATCGACATCGTAGAGAACTGGCTTTTGAGATTGGTGAAATGGTATATCTCAAACTTCGGCCCTACAAACTACGTTCTTTGGCTAAGAAGATCAATGAAAAACTCAGTCCTTGCTTTTATGGTCCTTACAAGATTCTGGAAAAGATTGGTCCTGTAGCTTATCGGTTGGAGTTACCAGTTGGAGCATGCATTCATTCAGTGTTTCATGTTTCACAGTTGAGAAAATGCTTGCTTCCAACTACTTCTGCACAAAACCTACCTCCATTTCTTACCCAAGAATTGGAGCTTCAGGTTGAGCCTGAGGCAGTGAGATAGATCAGGAAGCTAATCAATGGTAAATTAGAAGTGCTAATCAAGTGGAAGAACCTATCAGAATTTGAGAATACTTGGGAGGAATATGCAATCATCGATCAACAATTTCTAGACTTTCACCTTGAGGACAAGGTGATTCTTATAGGGAAGTTAAAAGAGGGTATTCAGAAAATAAAGAAAAGGGAATTCTGGGAGAGTTTCTAGCCTCTCGAATGTCTAGAAAGGTTGTGATCTTTATGATTATACAACTAAAGTTCATTATTGTCTTAGGTTGTGATTTATTATGTCAGTAGTGTACTCGTGATTGTTTTGTTTTCAGACTTCTTGTTGTAATAGCAGTGAATCTAGTGTGAAACAGCAGTATTTGTTCCTCTATTGTCAATTTCAGCAGTAAAGTCTATCAGTTACATATATAACTTTAGGCTGACTTTTATTCCTCATGAATAGTATTTGTTTGGTAAGCTATAGACTATATATAGTCATGATGTGGTTGATGAAAACACCGTTGACATATGAAATATTTATTAACAGATGTAAAAAGGATCGATATGAGTTGTCGTGGGATAATTGAGATTTCTTCACGCTTAATCAAAGGTGTTTTGGGTTTGAGCCCCTTGAAATGGAAAAAAATCCTGTTACGATCGACTTAATTAGGAGCTAGCATCGCCCTTAGAAATAAATCCTGTGAATTCAAATTTAATCGAACTATGGCTTTGCATATATATATATATATTAACTCATAAGTCACATACTTTATTTGAAATTTCTCTGCCTAATGATACACTTTTGTCAACTCCAAGTAGATTACTTTAAATTAATTTATGACAAGATGATTTGTACTAATAAATAATGTAAAGTCACTAATTAATTTAAGGCCAGTGATCTTGTTTTAAGCTTAGAGGTCTAACCTAGGCATTTAATTGAACAAATGTACCCTAGCTAGGAGGTGACGTAGTCGGGATTTAAAACTTATGAATTTAGAGTCCTAGTCCTTTTACATTATTATGTTCTGAATTTTACAAGTTATACATGTTCAATAAATTTATTGAGACAAATACAAAATATGAACGAAAGTTATTGAGTTCAGTCAAACACATTAACGTACACATCATTACTCCGCTTTGATTTTAGTTTATAACATGTAAATTATAACCAAGGGGGAGGAGTTAAAATGGTAAGCGGTGGGACAGTCTATTTATTAATATGTTACATGTTTTTGTTTTTTTTGTTTGTTCTTAGAATAAAATTTCAATTTTAATAGATAAACAAAAACTGGGAGGGTAAAGTTGTTCTAAATCGATAAACGTAGTAGTATATTTGCCTTTGCCTAAAGTTTAATAAAAATATATTAAGCTCATAATAATTAATAATAAACTAAAATGGTTTATTATTAATTTATTAAATGAGAGTGACAGTCACTAAGAAGAGGAAATTCCTTTAAGATTTGTCCTATGCAATCACTGGACAAAAAGTGTTTTTTTTTTCTTAATATAAAATAATTGTGTTGAAAAGCATGGTCTTTTTTTGGACATATATAAGGGACTAAATAATTGTGGATTATTCTGTCTCCAAAGAGAAGCAGATAAGCTTATTTCATACATTTTAAAAGTTGTCAAAAGAAGGAAGCAGATAAGTTGTCTACGTCACACCTCATATGAGCAGTGCAATTCTTTTAAGTTGTCCACATCACACTCCTTATGAGCGGTGCAGGCCTCTTTCGAACCCTGCTAATGCGAGATACCTTTTATTATATTATGGGATGTAAAGGAGGAGTCCTTTTTAACTTTATTATCAGACTCACTATATATGGTCTGCCTTTCTTTTCTTTTTTTTGTTTAGGATGCATTTAAGCATTTCTAGTTTAATTTAGAAGCTACTTATGTGAAGAAATGGTGAATCCGACACTAAAACAGACACTTTTGAATCTTAAACATCAAAAAGAGACGCTCTCTAAAAACAGACATCACAACGGACAGTTAACCTATTTATGGGCTAACTATAACTACCATCTTTTAATATTGTAATCCCCATTAACTCCAAATCCATACAAAATAAATACTACACAAACTCTAAAGGTAGTTTGCCCACAAACGGGCGAACTACAATCTCCTCACGTGAATCTATATCTCTTTCTCAAAAGTGTTTGTTTTAGTACCGTACTCAAGAAATGGCCATGTCATCCCCAAGCACTCTCCATAATTGTGTAATTTGGTTATCATAAACTAGGTTCAATGAATATATACATATTCCAACTACTATTAATAGGGAAAAATATACAAATACTCATGTAAGAGTAGTTGTTTTCCCTTGTGTTCTTTTTAGTGCATAACTGCATATTATAACTTGAGATATAAAGTTTCAAAGAAACAAAATTTTACTCAGATCAAGCAAACTGTTTCACCAATACATCTATGTACTTATACACAGGTATCCATAGTCATGGAACCATCTATAGTATAATATAAAAAAACAATCTATAGTAACTCTCTAACTTTTGCAGCTTCAGAGCCTCCAAACAAGTTCTGTACACTTCAAGAAGTCTCTTCGGATGCCATTTTTCGAATGTATGTTTGATGTACACTTCCAAGGAGTCTCCTTACAAGGCAGTTCATACGACACATCAACCGTGCTCATACAATAGGCAGTCGTAAGAATGCAGAATTAGCACCAACACCAACGCGGCATATATATGCACAGAAAAGATTCATCTACTTGCCACGCGATTTTTCAATTTCTGAAGACGTACTTGATGAAGGATGAAGAGGACTGTTAATTTCCAAAGATGTACCTGGTGAGGGAAGACAAGGACTTTTAATTTCGGAAGATTTACGAGGTGAAGCAGAATGAGGGCTTTTAATTTCCAAAGATTCATGCGGTGAACGAAGAGGACTTTTAATCTGTGAAGATTTACGCGGTGAAGCAGAACGAGGACTTTTAGTTTCTGAAGATTCACGCGGTGAAGGAAGAAGGGAGTTTTTAATTTCCCAAGATGTATTTGACGAAGGAAGATGAGGGCTTTTAATTTCCCAAGGTGTACGTGGTGAAGGAAGATAGGAACTTCTAATTTCTAAAGATGTACGTGGTGATGGAAGATGAGGACGTCTAATTTCCAAAGATGTACGTGGTGAAAGACGATGAGAAGGATTTTTAATTTCCAATGACGTACGTGATGAAGGAAGGTGAGGACTTCTAATTTCTAAAAATGTATGTGATGAAGGAAGATGAGAAGGATTTTTTACTTCCAAACATGTACATGATGAAGGAATATGAGGAGGACTTCTAATTTCCAAAGACGTACGTGATGATGGAATATGTGGCGGGCTTTTAATTTCCAAAGACGCGTGTGGTGATAGAAGATGAGGACTTGATATATGTGATAAAGGATGATGAGGACTTCTAAT